TCATTTTGGCATTTAATAGTGTTTCCATAGGAATCCCAGAGTCCTTTGCAGAGGCTGTTACATCCCATGCATATGTTTCCTTTTTGCTTTAATGTTTGGCGGTGCTGTCTGGCAGAGCAGTAAAGCTCGGAGCTCAGAGGAGTGGGCTTTCACCTCACCGCACAGCAGCCATTACTCTAAATCACCCCCCCCCCCCCTCCCTTCTTCCTCCTCTCTGACCTCCGCTAGCATCCACTGACCTGGAAAATATTGTGTGAGTCCAAGCCACCGGGAGCGGCGCTGGCCTTTGCTTCGCCTGCAAACAGCAGAAATATTGAGCCAATTACAAGATTATTATCTGGTGGCGGTGGCAGGGGAACACTGTGGGAGTGTAGTTATGCCTGCCAGGGCTCCCTGCTGGACAAGGAAAAATGAATCAAAGGCGTGTGGGGGGGGGGAGGGAGAAGTGGACAGCTCTCATGCCCATTTGCTTCTATGTCTTTACAACTCCCGTCAATTGACAGACATTGGCCAAGCTCCAAACCGCCTTTCTAGAAGTAACACGGAGAAATGGCCCTTTCAGAGCTGATCATTTGTTAGTTTTATACTTATTTCCAATTCATATGTCATGTTGTGATGTTATGCATACAGTAAATAAGACCTTAAGAAATGTTTTGGCATGTTTCAGGCAGACATAAGTCACAGCCTGTATACGAGGGCAAAGTCGAGTTGGTGTGCGAATAAAATTCATTCAGTAGGGAAACGAAAGCATTGATGCGTCAGGCCCTTTATTTAAAAGTGGTTACTTTTGTAAAGCCTACAAAGGACGCATTGAGGGATGATCTGCACATTACCTTGTACATTGGATTATATTTTTTTAATAGGGAAAAGAGTTGCCTGAACGAGTCCTGGAATCATTCTCCAGATAGTTAGTTCCATATGAGAGAAATTACGTCATTTACAACATGTGTTATGTTCTGTCATGTACACAAGCTGTTTGTTAATATATACTAAACATCTTAGTCATTCTAAATACTTTTTAAATGTGTGCCAAAGCAGTGCATTTGATTTAAAGGAAGGCGAGGGTATGTGCGCAGTGTTCTCTCTCGGGTTGGAGTCTGCGTCTCGTTTCATGAGTGGATCCCGCTGCCCTGTTTCACGCACCAGTGTGCTCAGGGAGTCGTATTCTACATGATGAAGACATCAAAGCAGGGTCTGGAACTGCAGTAAATATCAAGCACTTGGACGGTTTGTCATCTGTTACATCACCTTCCCTGCCAATAACGTTTCATTAGAAAGCACGGCATGCTTCTGCTGCAGAATGGAAAGAAATACCACATTACAGTTCACTGACTGTAAAAGTGCAAATTGTGTTTCTTACTCCATTGCCCAACTGGAACTTGGAAAAGTTGAGGATTCTTTACTTCTAAAACAGTTGTGGACATTATTCCCAGAACATTTTATCTACAATATGATTTGTCTGGAAAAAATGCAAAAAACATGAAATGGTTCCAACTCGACTCACATTTGATGATTTGCTTAAAATGTCCAAAATCCTAAAACCAGATCAAAAGAAGTACTTTTTCAAAAACCTCTGAGAGCTCCGGCAACAAAACTGAAAATCCAAGTCAATACAATGGGACACGGTTAAGCTTGGTAACCAAGATGACCTCTGTTTTCTGTTTAATGTTATTGTAAATGTTATATCTCTGGGGTTTTTCGTCTTTTGCTTTGATCAAATGAACAAGTCAACGTCACTTTTGGCTCTGAGGACTTATGGTTGGATGATATGGTTGGGGCTTTTCATCGTGAGTTCAACAAAGTTATAGAACCTAAATTGTTGGTATGCTTATCTTAACAATACAGAATACAAAATCAGCAAATATAACGTGCAGGGCAAGTATGAATGTTTTTATTTCATTTAACAAAAAAAACAACTTAATAGTGTGTCATCAGACTGCACTTGACTAAGCTTAAAACCACAATGCCAAGTAAAAGGTTACCCAGAGAGCTTGAAGGCTGGTTCCATGAGTGAAAAACAATGTTCTTATCCACCTTCGATTTGGATCCGCTCCAAAATCGAATGAGTCTTCCTTGGCCCTTACTATAACCCTTCAACTGAGTTAACAAAACACCAGCCACTAGTTTTCCAGTTCTGACAAACCAATCGCCAACCAACCAACAAGCAAAACAGAAACCATTTACATCAACCTGGCTACATACGTGCTTTACGACTCATGACCATCCTTATCCTTGGACTAACAAACATGGCTGTCTTCATGTTGCACACCATACCACATACCTCAGTGACCCTGAAAATCCCCTCCGAGTGCCCTCGCTCCAACACACCACCGCTGTGAGTGCCGACCACAGAACAAGCTCGACGCACGCCATCAAATATGGATGCTTTCTTTAGTACAGGCTCATTGCTTTTTTATAAAACAATAATGTTCTCTTTTGTACATAAAGTCTCCGGTACTATAAGGGATGTTTCTGAAGTAGCTTCCAAATCAGCATGTTGTCAGCATTGTCAGGATGAAGCTCTGCATGAATTTGTCTCTGTGTTAAAGTCAGCTTAGCATTGTCCTCCCAGGTGGGGTTTGTCTTAAAGCACCATTATAACAGCCTCACTCTGGACTGTTTGTGCAACGGGGCAGCGCTAATGTGACAGGAAAGGAGCCTTGTCCATGTTGCTCTTAAGACAACTGTAGGATAGCTCGTAGATACTGAGAGGACTCTGGAGGTCAGGTGATGGTCAATGTTCGAGACATCAGTGCGCCCATGCTACCGCTATTCCTGTTATCGACCGCTTCCTGCGTGTCCCCCTTGTGCTGACCCCGTGATCCGTCCCTCACAGCGAAGATCCACTCAACACTGATGTGTTTTGACATTGGCCTGAAGGTATTGACTTATGGCTTTTAGATCTGTTTCACCTCATACGCTGAGCAGCTGTTTTCAAGCCCGGAACAACCGCAAGGAAAACTGTCAAACACACACTCATGCTGTCACCTCTAGACTTTTCAGCAGTTTAGGAATCTTCCTGTTTTTTGTTTTGTTGTCAGCAATCATTTGGAATTACAAATAAAAAAATGCTCCATATGTGTCCAAAAAATACACTGATGTTTGTTTTTGTCACACATCCATTCAATGAAAAGCCCAAAAGGATTTTTGAAGTTTTGCTGAGGAAAAGATAATGCCCTCGACAGATTTATAACACTGTAGTTTTAGGTAATTGCCTAAAATCACATTGACGCTCAAGTGACAAAGAGCTTTAGCAGATGTAGGATTTATCTTGGCGTCTTGAAGGAAAGAAGTGTGAGTCTGTTTAATGTTATTTCTTAAGGAAGTTCGCAGAAGGTTAGTTTAATTACATGGGGGGACAGAGCATGATTTCTTTTAACCATAACGACCATCATTCCCTGATATTTAACACAAATTGTAACCTTACCAAACCTAGCAATATAAGACCAGGTATAGCAAAGATCACTAATTCATTAGGGCGTCTAAAGAGCTTATTGGAGAAAAGCCGTTGACACAACCAGCCTTCAAATCCTTCATGACAGCTGATGTCTTTTGAGAATGCGCTCTGTTTGTATAGAGCTTGTCCTTAGCAAAGATCTCAGTGCCCTCCGTCTCATTTTGCTGTGTATGTTAAACGGAGCATGATTGTTACCAGCCTTTTTCTGCAAGGCGGAAAAACTGTAGCCCATCACATCAGAACAAGACGCTGTACTTTGATCACACATCGTACTTGCCACAGCATGGTCCTGTAAACAACCGACTGAAGTGTTGAGCACTCTTCAGTCACTTCAGATGACCTTCTTCCTTTAAGGTCTCAGTAGTTCTGTCACGGGTAGCAAACTGCGTGCACCCTGGGAGTTTCCTGGGTCACTTTGCCAGCACCAGTCCTCGCTTTAAGGAGCACCAGCCTAGCAGATAAATAATTAACAACTGCATTCTGTACTTTGGTGAATTTTAAAGCTGTATTCTGCAGGGGCTCTAAATGGCAGAGGGGGGGGGGCGCGTTAATCATTCATGGACTGCTTTTACCCGCTTTGCTTAAGGTTGCTGTCCTGAAAGCAGCTGGGCAGAAGGAAAGTGGAGAAAAGGGAGAAAGAGAGGAAGGATGGCGTGGACAAATGGAAAAGGACTCAAACATGAGGAAATACTGCCAAAAAACATGTAGAATCTCAGGTTATGTTTGGTTGAACTTTGTTGTTTTCTAAATATTTGAGGTAGGATTAATTTCAAAGAGCTTTAGGATACTCATATATATATATATATATATATATATATATATTTGAATATATTTACACTTTGTCCTTGGTTGTTTTGTAACACCTACAACAGAGGAAATCACTAAATTGCATTTAAAATAAACACAAAGTTACCACTAGGACATTTCTTACAATCCACAAGGGGGAATTGTAATATTAAAACACATGTTTCTGATGTTTCCACCATATGTTGCGAAAAGTGAAAGACAAGAAGATGATTATGCTGGAGGAGCCGTTCAGCTCAAATATCAATATTTAATAAGCAGCACTACCATAGAACGGGTATAGGGATTGACATTTTCTTTTCGCGCCATATGAGTGTCAAGAATACCCCCTTTCAAATGCACCCGGGGGAATCCCCTTCTTGATTTCATAACCCCTCAGGCTACATTAAGGAACACTGGAGGTAGCATCTGCATACTATCACCAGGAGAATGTATTTTACATCCTGAACGCGGTGCTGCGCCAAAAACTGCAAATCAACATGCGGTCCCACCTCTTGGCATCTAATTGAGCATAAAGAAAAGGACACCTGATCGGGATCAAATAAATAAACTCCTGCAAACGGACTGTTTCCACTGTTATTCTGGATTGATTGGATTCTACGTTTTTGATGACTTTGCCAGAGTTAGTCCATTTGTAATGTTTATTGTAGTAAGAGCGGTGGTACAACTGTGACGGTCGACAGTGATTCAGTCGGGTCAAACAAATATCTCATTCCTGTTTCCATTTTTCTCTTCCCAGAGAGCTGATGCCCAAGACTCTGGAGGGCCAGATCACCATGGAGAAAACCCCCAGCTACTTTGTGACCAGAGAGGCTCCGGCCAGGATATCCGCCATGTCCCGGGACACCAAGCTGATCGTGGTGGTGAGGGACCCCGTCACCAGGGCCATCTCGGACTACACACAGACTCTGTCCAAGAAGCCGGACATTCCCTCTTTCGAGAGCCTCACCTTCAAAAACAGGACTACGGGGCTCATCGACACCTCGTGGAGCGCCATCCAGATCGGCATCTACGCCAAGCACCTGGACAACTGGCTGCACTACTTCCCCATGGAGCAGATCCTGTTTGTGAGCGGCGAGCGTCTGATCAGCGACCCGGCCGGAGAGCTGGGCCGCGTGCAGGACTTCCTGGGGCTCAAGAGGATCATCACTGACAAACACTTTTACTTCAACCAGACCAAGGGTTTCCCGTGCCTCAAGAAGGCAGAGGGCAGCAGCAAACCCCACTGCCTGGGCAAAACCAAAGGGCGGACCCACCCCAACATTGACCCTGAGGTGGTGCAGAGGCTACGGGACTTCTACAGGCCCTTCAACATGAAGTTCTACCAGATGACGGGGCGATTCTTTGGCTGGGAGGACTGAATGTGTTTTTCTCTGAAGGTTGGGGTATTCAGGAGCACTCTAGGGGGGGTCGTATAAGAGAATGCATTTGTAATATTTCAAGAAATAGTCATAAACATGGCTACAAATTAAAAAAGTTTATAATTTAAAATGAAAGTTTGGTTTTTAGGGAATAACTCAACCCTCTGTTGTACAAATCATGTGTTTTAAAGCAAATAAAGTATTTATGGAGAGCAATGCTAAAATATCCACATCTTATATTATCTATACATCACATTCTGGAAGTTATATTCTCAAAACCTAACCTTTTCGCATAAACATTTTAACTTAATTCTGATAAGATTATGACTTTTTTATTTTTTTATTTAATTGTACAACATAGCTCTTATAATATATACATTTATGTGATCAATACATATAATATATTTGAGAATATAATAACCCGAATGTTACAGAAAGTATTGGATTAATCTTAAAAGTCAATGAAAAATTGCCAACATTTTATAAAAAAAATTCTCAAAATATTATGACTTTATTCTCAGAATATTTGTACCCTGAAAGTGTTCCTACTAATCCGTCCTCAGTGCTAGCTCTAAGCAATATGTGGCTGTTACAGGAGAGAAATAAGCCCCATTTCCCTCCGTGGCACCCCAGATATGCAATATTTCACTGTTACATTTTTCATCTACAGAGCTGCCTCTAATCCACAATCATGGAGATGTTTTTCTTCTATGAGCATATTGAGTTGTTGAAGGATTTGCGTCATATCTCCCTGCACTATCTGACGTTTTTTTGCCAGTGTGAAGTCCTTGGCTGTGACTCGGAAATATTGTATGCAGTGCTTCTTTAAGAAGACGTGTGAAATCAGTGTGTCCAGGGGCTTTTGATAAAAGCCGTGATCGAATGCCATATTTTAAACATACATAGCTGCTTTTCAAAAATGTAACATTTTTCTAGCAAAATAAGAATATGAAAAGATAAAAATATATGTATTTTTGAAATGTATTTATTCAAGAAGTACACAAGCAGTATGTACGTGTTATAAATAACTCCTCAGTGATTATTTGCTTTTTTGTTATTATGCTCCCCATGCCTTTTGAGGGTTTTCCTTGTTTTATACTAAAAACACGTTATCCTCATTTCAATTTCAGGTCATCCTGTTTAATATATATTTACCATACAGTGTGGGAACGCTTGTCTCCACTTAGCTTCCTGTGCCAGAGCTGCGAGTTTGTTATTTCAAGCATCGTCTCCCCACCTTCTCTTAATGAAGTTACAGGCAAAGATAGCACTCGCTGTTATTCAAGCAACAGTGAGTCTGATGGAGGGAAAAGACCTCCTTCCCGCACTGTAACTCAAATTTCCTCAACATGCCTCCTTGTGAATTGAATACACTTGATGTCACTGGCTTCCTTGCCTCCAGGCGAATTGTGTGGCAGTCTTTGAAAACGAACAATGACCGAGTTGTGTTCCTAATTTCTGCCTACTTGTATTGTGAGCCACTTTCTGTAAGCAGATGTGCCTCTAAAGACACAACATGATTTTGTGTTTTGGTGTGAGCATCAGAAAAGAACTTAATATAGATCTTGGGGGGGGGGGGTTATATTACCAATCTAATTGTGCTGTTCTGACTGTTTTCTTAAAGTTGTTAAGATTTTGAAGGCACTCCTTGAATAAAAAATGTCATACGTAAACATTTTTGTCCACTGGCCTTTTTTTATTCATTGATATTTTGAAAAGATTCTTGCATTCTGGAAGCCTTATTTCAGGTCTCTTGGCAGCTTTTGGGGGGGGACAATGTCAAGAAAGTAATAGTAGTATTATCTTGCTAATATGTGTATTCAAACAAAAAGAGCAGAATGTATGCAATACATAACATACTTGTGCTGGGGTATTAATATTGTATGTTCTGATACATAACACTATACGTTTGAATCACACTCTCTACGATCGACTGGACACATCATGACAAATGAAAACATTTCCTGGATCAACTTTTGGTACATTGACGCTTCGAATACATTTGTGTTCAAACAACATGGAGGTTTTTCTGAATGTTGACAAAGAAATCATAACATTTTAGTTGTTAAAAGTATAGAGTGGCGAAGTCCCTCCCTTTCCGGGGGACCTCCATGGGACCTTATTTCGGAAAAATCATGTATTGAAGTCAATGGAGAGAGAAAGATTATCTTTTGATTCCGTTTGAATTATGTAAAGAATTACACATATGATGTTTGTCAATTTAAAAGATAATTTGGCAAGTCAAAAAAATGTAAATGTGTCGTAAAACTGTGAAGTAACAAAAAAAATTGTGTGAAGCGCTCAATGAACTACAACTCTGGTCTTGCATACGTCACCAACACCAAGATGGCCGTTACGTTAGCACCATAGACTGTGTATATATAAAGCAGGGGCGGCGCCAGGGGGGTGCTGAAGCACCCCCCAGGATTGCCAAAGCACCCCCTAAGCACCCCCAAGAAATATGTTTGTTTTTTTTTTTTCGAAAATTATTATTATTATTTTTATTAAATTAAATTAGAAATATTATTGATTACATCAATGCATATGTGAAACAAACACATTTTTGACCAAAAACATAAAGCCAACACAGGTGATATGATTAGGCCAATGGTCAGCACCCATTCGATTTTTTTGTGACACTTGATTGACTTCCTGTTAGCTAGAGCGCCAAATGATTTGCTAACAGCAAAGTGAAAAATTGATCGTTTTTTAGTTCTTAAACGACCACGTGTGGACACTCAATCAAAACCAACTGAAAGCGAGAGGGATTCTGCACATAATAGGCCTCGTGAGTACAAGTAGCTTACTTCTGGGTCTCTGTGTTTCATTCAAGCCCTGCTCTGTGTGTCTGTGTCTGTGTCTGTGTGTGTGTGTGTGTGTGTGTGTGTGTGTGTGTGTGTGTGTGTGTGTGTGTGTGTGTGTGTGTGTGTGTGTGTGTGTGTGTGTGTGTGTGTGTGTGTGTGTGTGTGTGTGTGTGTGTGTGTGGCACGAGCCATTTTGTGTGCGTGCGTGCGCGAGCGAGAGAGCTCGCCTCGCGCACCAGTGGGTATCTACCGGAGATCGTTGTGGTTAGCATCTGGTGCTAGCTAGCCAAGCTAATGGATATAAGGAGCTTTTTCAACAACAAGGTGGAGGGAGAACTCTCTCCTGTCAGACGGAGAGTCTCAGGTAACCTCAACTCAGGTGAAGTAAAGGACTCTCTCAGTGTTTAGATAGTTGACTTTAGTCTAGTTATCTCAGTGGGTCTCAAACGGTTTGTTTTAAAAGGGGAGTGATTTGTAAAATATCTATAAAGAAATAGAAAATCTGTTGACAGTTCTGTTTCGTATGGGTGTTGAGATGTATCCATAGATCTCTTAATGTTGCTCTCAAAGTGCACCAGATTGATGCTTTTAACTTAAATATGTAACAAAAAATCTTCCCGGGAGAGCTAGCCGCCGGACCCCCCTAGAGGAGGTGAGGACCCTCCTAGAGGAGGTGAGGTCCGCTCCCCACTTGTAAAAATAGCACTTTACCCGTGCCTATATGCCGTGAGCTGATTATCGAGCCTTCATTGTAACAGTCGCGGGTGCACTGTGTGTGTGTGTGTGTGTGGGGAGTGTTGCAGTAGAAAATTCAACTGTAGCGCTGGTACATTAATGGGAAACCCTAAATGTTTGAGCACCCTCTATGAAACGTCAAGCTACCCCACAGCACCCCCTAGAGAAAATCTCTGGCGCCGCCACTGATATAAAGGTTAGCATATTTCACCTCTTTCTTTCAGAATGAAGTGAAAAGTATTAAAAGAGGTGAAAATCACTACAAGTATGGGCATGTTGAGAACTGTACATACACAAAAGGGGAGTTATTCGTTCCGTAAGAGCCAGAATGCGGGACCGGCTATACAAGGTTTCAGTGAGTAACACGAGTGTAATGTGTAACGTTAATGTACGCGACTCTGGGATGTGTAGTCTTTCTAGTTGCGTATTTTTCATAGTCTTATATTTCAACAGTTTTAAGACAAACTGAATTTTGTTACATGGAAATGATTTTTTAAGATTGACAAACATCATATGTGTAATTCATGGCACAATTCAAACGGGATCGAAAGATAAGTTCTCTCTCCATTGACTTCAATACATAATTTTTCAGAAATAAGGTCCCATGGGGCGGAAGTAGATGGGCGTGACTTCGCCACTTTATAGGGAACAAAACTAAATTGTTAGATTAAGGAAAATATCCTAGTTTGGTTTGTGTTTGTGACACCAAAACCAATGGGCGCTTTTTATACTTCGGCATCTGACTTCCTCCTTTGCTCTGTTTCGTAATTACTATGGCCACTAGAGGTGTGTCACTATTAATTTGTTCTTTGAACAACCATGTGAATGTGGCATGCTGAATTTTCTAGTAGTAGGCTACAGTACCCATCCAATGTGTTGATGACATCTGTAGAGGTGGTTATAGTATAAACAGATAGCTTAAAATAGCAAACACGCCTATCGATGTACAGAATAACTGTTTTCCTAATGTAATAGAGTAGGCCTACATACAGGATATCAACCACAGTTTATATGCCTGAAGCGACAAACTGTCAGTGTCTCTTTGTGTTACTTTTCGTTTGAATGTTTTTATTCCCCAAACACAATTTCCCTTTTCTCCCCATCTCCCATCGTTCCTTCCCTCCCACTCTGCACCTGTATGTTTTTCTTTGCCCAAAGAATCTCTCGGCTTCTTACCTCCCGCAGCCTGCTGACTGATTTGAGAAATTGCTCTGACAGGCCCTTAGTAGATGAACCACGATGAGAGGAGGGAACCTGTTGAAAGTCGTCAAATTTCTGAAGCGTATTCATGCTGATGTTGTGACTTTAACAGAGTCGTGGGAGCCGAGTGAAGGGGAGACTGATGTCCATTTGTTGACTCGTCCAATTTGCCTGTTATTCCTTTTCTGAGTGGGTCAGCGGGGGCCTCTCCGGCGACGGTTCCTCACAGTAATAAACAGAGACAGTTTTCATCCTCCTGCTCAAGTCTCTGAGGGGCAGCTAAGTATGAAAGAGAAAATGAAACTGCAACATCTGCTGCGAAACGGCACACAGACCACCACTGTCACACAGCATTCAGCTCAATATCAATGGCAGG